AGCAGCCCAGATGGGTTTGCCTCTGCGCTGCCAGTTGCTGTTTCCATTGCTGCAGCCACCCCCACAGGGCATTTGCCGCCATCCAGGAGTCTGTACAGAGATAGAGCACTGGCCATGTTTCTTGTTCAGCAATACCTAAAGCCAGCTGGATGGCTTTCACCTCTGCAAACTGACTCGATTCACCTTCTCCTTCAGCAGTTTCTGCAACTTGTCGTAAAGGACTCCATACAGAAGTCTTCCATCTCCGATGCTTTCCCACAGGATGGCAGGACCCATCAGTGAACAGGGCACATTGTTTCTCATTTTCTGGTACTTTTTTATGCAGTGGGGCCTCTTCAGCATGCACCACCTCCTCCTCTGGCAATATTCTGAAATCTTTGCCTTCTAGCCAGTCCAGGATCACTTCCAAGATTCCTGGGTGATTGGGGTTTCCTATTCAAGCCCGTTGTGTAATCAGTGCGACCCACTTACTCCATGTAGCATCAGCTGCAGGATGTGTACAGGGGACCCTCCCTTTGAACATCCCACCCAGCCCCGGCAGTCGGGGTGCCAGGAGGAGCTGTGCTTCAGTACCAATCACTTCTGAAGCAGCTCCAACCCTTTCATATGCTGCCAATATCTCTTTCAGTTGGAGGATAGTGGGCCTCAGATCCTGTGTATCCCTGACTCCAAAACCCTAGGGGTCAGCCTCAAGCCTCTCCTGGCACTTTCTGCCAGAGGCTCCAGGTAGGGCCAGTCTCTCTGGCTGCGGTGTAGGCCACATTTTTTAGATCTTGTCCTGCCCAGACTGGCCCAAGAGCATGAACTATCTCCTGTTTAATTTGTTCAAAGGCTCATTGTAGCTCAGAGACCCATTTGAAATCATTCTTCTTTTGGGTCACTTGATAGAGAGGGCTTACGATCAGACTGTAATTTGGAATATGCATTCTCCAAAAACCCATAAGGCCCAAGAAAGCTTGTGTTTCCTTTTTGCTGGTTGGTGGAGACATGGCTGTTATTTTGTTGATCACATCCATTGAGATCTGATGACATCCATCTTGCCATTTGATTCCTAATAACAGGATCACCTGGGAGGTCCCTTGATCTTATTTTGTTTCATGGTAAAAACAGCCTTCAGAAGGGTTTGGATGCCCCTCCAAGTGAAAGCAAACTGTGGCCTGCAGTCTGCTGCTAAAGGGATTGGGAAAAACATATTAGCGATATCAATTGTGGCAACCACTTGGCTGCCTTTGACTCCAGTTCGTATTGAAGTTCTAACATGTCTGGCATGGCAGTGCTCTGTGGCAGCGAGACTTCATTCAGGCCACCATAGTCTACTGTCAGTCTCCACTCTCCATTAGTCTTCCGTGCTCGCCATACGGGACTGTTAAAGGGTGAGTGAGTCTTGCTGGTCACTCCTTGGCTCTCCAGTCAACAAAACAGCTTATGGATGGGAATCAGGGAGTCTCAGTTGGTGCGATATTGCCACCAGTGCACTGTTGTGGTGGTAATCGGTACCTGTTGTTCTTCAACCCTCAGCAACCTCACAACAGAAGGGTCCTCCGAGAGGCAGGGCAAGGTAGACAGCTGCTTAATTTCCTCCGTCTCCAGGGCAGCTATACCAAAAGCCCACCCTTTTGGGTCCTTGAAATGCACTCTCCTGAGGTAGTCTATGCCAAGGATGCATGGAGCCTTGGGGCCAGGCACAATGGGATGCTTTTGCCACTCATTCCCAGTTAGGCTCACTTCGGCCTCCAATACAGTTAGCTTTGGGATTGTTGAACTGCTGATTGTTTTTCCTTGCAACTCATGTACCCATGCCTCTAGGGTCAAGGTAGATTTTCCATCCCATTTCCTCGTGTCCTCTCCGTGGTCACGTAGGTAAAGCCACAGGGTGGCCTGTATTGTGCACCCTCTATATCATCTCTCTTGAGCAGAGGGATGTCTGCTCCTAATGGCTGATACTGATCTGTACAACTGGGAAGTAGGACCTATCCTCTTTGAGTTGCTGGACCTTCCGGGACAGTTTCTCCACAGCTGAGATGAGAGAGGAAGAGAGATTTTCTTCATATTGTTGGAACTGGCCAGCAAATTCATCCACTGTTGGTCCCTTTCCAGGTCAGTACTGCCAATGAGTTGGCATACAATGATGGCATGCTCCATACCAACTTCCACCATATGGGTTGTGTGCACTGAAGTTCATCTGGATCTTTGGACAACTGCTCATTGTCCAGGTCATCATAAATCACCTCCAGCATGGCTAATTCCCTCAGGTACTGGATACATCTCTCTGTGGTGGTCCACATGCCTGGGTGATGTAGAACATCTTCCTTTCCTTCATGCCTGACTGGAGTCACCTCCAGAGGCTGAGGGCTTGTGACCATTTTCCAATTGCTTTGTCAATTCCCCCTTCCCTAGAAAGGGGTCCCAGCTGCTTGGCTTCCTTACCCTCCAATTCCAGGCTACTGGCCCCGTTGTCCCAGCATCAGAGCAGCTGGGTGACAATGTGCTCGCCTGGACAACTGAAATCTTTTCACATATCTTGCAGCTCACTCAGGATAGGGATTGGGTGGTTACCATCTCATTTATGGGTTCTGCCTCTTCTTCCTCCTGTTCTCCTGATGGCCTTGGTTCATCTTCATCCCTTACTAAATGAGCAGATTTTCTTGCGTATTTATTCTTGTGTATAGGGGCGACTGATACCGGCATGGTTCTCTGGTTCAGCTGCAGTGCCTGTGGCCGGGGTTGGAGTAGCCACAGTGCCTGTTGCAGGGGTTGGAGTAGCCGCCTGTCATTTTGTCATCAGATTCAGAGACCTTCTCTTCCCCTTGAGGGTTCTGAATAGTGTTGAACAGAGTTCAGTTGGCATGGGCCAGGCCCCAGCATGTTGCAGTAATTGTGTGTCTCTGGAGTTGCTGGGTGACAACAGACATTTTCCAAATACTTTACTAGTTTTTCAGGATTCCTCACTTATTCAGGGGTGAAGTTGCAAAACACTGGAGGTGCCCACTGTCCTAGGTACATGCCCATACCCTGCCACTCATAACTATCCAGCCTTGGGGCAGATCTCTGGATGATATTCTTAAACTGTTTATTTAGCCCTCAGACAAACACAAAACCATATTCCCAAGAAATACCAATAGAAGTATCTTAACTACCCAAGGATGTTCAAGATGATACTGAAAAACTGTTGTAATGAAGGAGGAAACATCAACAGAAAAGGTGGGAAAGGTGCCATTCTGTATTTTCTCCAGAAAAAGCCTCCCAGAGAAAGAAGTATAATTGCTATTTATCTTCATGAGGTGGTACCTGAAGTATAGTAATGGCTTCGGTACAAAGCCCAAATACCAGATTAAGCTCATGGGCAGTGTTTTAATAAGAAATCTTCCAGGGAAACATCACTAATCACTGCAGAGCACAGCAAACGGCAAAACCAAATGCCAGTCTTTAACATGTACACCAAAAAATAGAGCATGGCGCAGATCAGATAAACTAATATCAAGAACAGATGAATCAATACTGTGACTGGCAACTGTTAACAAATATAAATTCCTTAATATGCTCTGGTTAATCTGTTGTTATCTCAAACCCTTCTTGCCCCGTGTTGGGTGCCAAAAGGACTGCCATGGTTTAACCCCAGCCAGCAACTAAGCACCACACAGCCGGCTTGCTCACTCCCCCCCCGCCTCCAGTGGGATGGGGGAGAGAATTGGAAGAGTAAAAGTGAGAAAACTCGTGGGCTGAGATAAGGACAGTTTAAGAACTGAAATAAAAGAAAGTAAAATAACAACAATAATAATAATAGAATATACAAAGTAAGTGATGCACAGTGCAATTGCTTACCACCCACCGACCGATGCCCAGCCTGTCCCCAAGCAGTTATCGCTGCCCCTGGCCAAGTCCCCCCAGTTTCTATACTGGGCCTGACGCCATATGGTCTGGAATAGCCCTTGGGCCAGTTGGGGTCAGTTGTCCTGGCTGTGCATCCCTCCCAGCTCCTTGTGCCCTGGCAGAGCAGGGGAAGCTGAAAAGTCCTTGACTAGTCTAGGCACTACTGAGCAACAACTAAAGCATCCGTGTGTTATCAACATTCTTCTCATACTAAATCCAAAACACAGCTCTATGCCAGCTATGAGGAAGAAAATTAACTCTATCCCAGCTGAAACCAGGACAGACGGCGAGCTCCTCTTTCCTTCCAGCCAGGATTTATTACCCTCTGTCTTTAAAACATGATCATGGGAAGGTGCTGCACCCTGGATGGTTTCAGCTTTTCTGACATTGGCTGCTTTACCAGGGACAAGGCATAGAGAGGAGGAATGTTCTTCAATGTATGGTACAAGTTGGAACAGATGCATCTCAGTTGATTCAGAGATTTCCTGTTTCCTAGCTCTTCAGACGTACTTAAGCACTATTGCCCTCCTCCTCCCATGCTGAAATCTTCTCCCTGGTAGATGGTAAGATAACCACACAAAAATCTGCAAAGAGCAGGACAAAAAATGTAGTGCAAAAGTCTTCCTTCCCCATTTTTTACTTTCACCATCTTCTGACGTCCCTAAAATAGCCACAATTCCACTGTTTATGTGAAACCTCATTGCCAGGAACTAGGCATTAGTTTTGCAACACTGAACTTTCTTGCAAAATATCCTGTGCTTCCTGGTTCCAGCCTTGAAGTTACCTCCAAAAACGCTCCCTCAAATGTCTTGGTGCTTCTGGCAGAGCAGAGCCTAAAGAAGCAGCTATGAATAGGAGAACCTTCACCAAGAGAGCAAAGCCACCTTCTTCCTCACAAGAAGGAAAATCCAAGCCATTGGCAGACCATTAATCTGCAAGAGTATTTTGATGACTCACTGCAGCAGTCTGAGAATTTCCAGCTGACGCAATAGAGAATATTTACACAATTTCAGGCCAGCAATGGAGAGGGAATGTACTGTGGAGGGGGCCACTGTATTGCAAAATATGCAGATGGAGAAAGGGAGCAAGTCAGCAAGAGGGTGGGGACATCACAGGAGCAAGTTCTGCTGGCGAGTTCCTTCTGTGCGCTAAGTTTTGCTCTGAGAAGGCTGCTGAGCATATGGTGGAACATGGGATCAAATGACTAATCCTGAACTTTCTCATATCAAACTAGAAATTTAATTTTGTTTGCACAAAAATACGTTTTCCAGTGCATGTGGATGGGGAGACATCTGGAGAAAAGAGCAGGTGAGTCCCTTTATACGCGTGGGTTCTGCTCCCACCTTCCCTGTACGGGAATTCGTGCCGTTGCTGTGGTATGGTCCAACTCTCAGAAAGGCAAGGTTTGGAGGAGAGATGAGTCTGAATTGGGGGTGCTGGTGGGCAGCAGGCTCAACAGGAGCCCACAGTGTGCTCTGGCAGCCAAGAGGGCAAACCCCGTCCTGGGGTGCATCAAACACAGCATGACAGGTCAAGAGGGGTGATTGTCCCGCTGGCTTCAGCATTGGTGTGGCCCCACCTGGAGCACTGTGTGTAGTGCTGGGCCCCACCATTTGAGAAGGATGTGAAGGTCCTTGAATGTGTCCAGAGGAGGGCACCCAAGCTGGTTACGGGGCTGGAAGGTGTCCTCTGGGGAGGGGCTGAGGGCTCTGGATTTGTCTCTTTTGGGGAGAAGGAGGATGAGGGGCGACCTGGATGCTCTGCAGCTTCCTGGGGAGGGGACATGGAGAGGGAGGTGCTGATCCCTCCTCCCTAGGATCCAGGGACCTGGGAATGGTTCAAAGCTGTGCCAGGGAAGGTTCAGACTTGACGTAAGGAAGCATTTCTTTACCAAGAGGGTGGTCAAACACCGGAACAGGCTTCCTGGAGAGGTGGTTGATACCCCACGCCTGTCAGTGTTTGAGAGGCATTTGGACAATGCCCTTAACAACATGCTTTAACTTGGTCAGCCCTGAAGTGATCAGGACAAGATGATCATTGTAGATTCCTTTCAACTGAGAGTCTATTCTGTTCTGTTCTATCCCTCCAGCCACTGACAGGGCAGACAATTACTTTTCTCACCATAAGGGCAGTGAGCTCTGGGACAGATTTCTTCCACTACTTTAGTAGTGTGCAGGTACGGTTGGACTTGATGATCTTAGAGGTTTTTCCAACCAAATGATTCTATGGTTCTATGATAAATCCTGCAGACAAAAGAAGATAAGATGTATCACAAAAGAGATTATTCAGTGAGTCCATCATGGCAAAGGGTGAGATCTGAGAGGTCTCCTCTTCCTTGTATGGCCAGTGATGCCAGTAACTGGCAAGACAGGAGGATCCAAGACATGTGAAAGTCCTGGCTCATTGGAACCTGACAGCAAATAATTTTGTTTGTCCAAGCCTGTATCTGGGAGGCTACTAAATAAATAATACAAGTCTATTCCAGGGCACAGGAGATTGAATCCATAGTTTCTTAACTCAATGAACTGAAGGAATAGGCACTTTGCAGTTTCTTTCTCTCATGCATAGCTGTGAAAAGTAGGAGGACTAGCAGTGAAAGGGAGGAAGGCAGGCAAAGTTTTCACCCAGCCTGATGTACATTGGCTCCATCAATGGATAAAAGCAGGGTGGTGTAATAAGAGAGTGAATGTGTGATCAAGCTGGAGTCAGCGGACCAAAATCCACAGAATGCTGCTTGCTAATCCAAAAGCTTGGGTGACCACAGCAGCACTGCAAGGTTCCTGCAGCAAAAGCTCAGAATCTTTGCCAGTGGCCTTCACACAGCTTAGCCTTGGGAGGGCTCAGTGTGATCTGGCTAGGCCACCTCAGGTGGCTCTCCATCACTCTGAGCCTCTTGGAGGCACTGGCATCTGTGCAAACAAATCTTCTATCAGAATGAAGGTTTTCCTCCATCTGTCTGTTGGAAATGACCTTGCAATGTTGTACCGTGAACTGATTCCTCTTTAAGGCAATGTCTTCAATTCATGATAGGAATTTGTCTGGGTCCAAATGGCAGGCACTAGATGTGCGTTTTATAGAGAATGAAAGCCCAGTTGCGATGATTTATTTGACTTAAATTTAGGGTTGTAAATGGAGTAGCTCTTATTTGACTTGCAACACCAGAGAAAGGTCTTTCAGCACCTGCTGATGTGCTAAGCTGACTTTGTTCTTCTTTGGTTTCATCTAGTCTTGTATTTTCTTTGCAAACTCCTGGGAACAAGGATAATCTTCAGACCTTGTATCTGTCGAGGCACAGTGACAGTAGGGAAATGGCACCTGCATAGTCAAGTAATAATCTTCCTAATGGTGAGAACTGTTGGATTGCTGGTGCCTTCTAACACTCCAGAGTGGACTGGTATGCCTGTGTAGCACCCCTTGAACTTTTGTTCTGAGGAATATGGGAATAATAGTAAAAAATAAACAGTTAAAGAACTGTAGGCTGCTCCAGGCCTTGTAGCCAGTAGGTAATGGAGCAGAACTGGTCCTTTATTTACCTCTTTGGAGCAGGTTTGATCTTGATCTTAGTTTTTCTGAAGACAGGATGGTGGGTTAACCCCATCAGTGGAGTTTGACAAGAGATACTACTTGAAAGCCCTGTTGTGCTTCAAAGAAAAGTCAGGAAAGCACTGTCCTCTGGCTCCACAGAAGGCAAAGGATTATGTTCCTTTCTACAGAAACAGCCGGTGCCACTCGCTGTCATGGGGAAAGCTGTTCTGGTAGGGGCTTGTCCATCTAGGAGGTATGTCAGAAATGTTGTTTGCTGCTTGGTCTTGTTTGGAACAGTTTGTGTACAGGAACTGGTTTTATTGCCAGGTGATAAAAATTCATTCCTGTCCAAACTGATAAAACTCCTAAGAACAAGCCTAGGTGGCTGTGGAGCCCTTCCTGGCTGCCCAGGCCACCACAAGCTGCTCCTCAGTGCAGGTTGGGTGCTACAGAGGCCAGAGTTTCTCCAGAGACACCAGACCAGTCATGACAAGACCCTGGCAGCCCTTTAGATGCCTTTCCCCAGGATCTGCTCCTTGCAGAGGGGCAGAGGAGTTTATTAATCAACTCTGAATAAACCTGCTCAGGGCACCAGGGAAATGACCTGGGTTAGAGTTAGGATTAGGGTTAGAATTAGGGTTAAAATGACCTAACCAGTGAAGGCAAGGTGTCGGGTGCTGTGGCTTATGCTTTCCCTCCTGTGCTTCTCCCTGCCCAGCGTAGGCAGAGCCGTGCCTTGAGGACTGAGCAGCCGTGCTGACCATGAGCGAGCAGAGTCACGTCAACAGCCTGTTCCTCAACGAGGACGCAGCCAAGCGGCTCAATGCCGAGAGCCGGGTGCAGCGCTTCCGGCAGGCGGTGCAGAAGCGGGCAGCACGGGCCAAGAAGAGGATGCACAGCATCACTGCTGACAGCGCTAAAAGCTTCTTCAGGAGAAATGCCTTTGTGCTCTTCACCATTGCTGCAGTCTTACTAGGTACAGAGCTGGTGGCGACACTGGGCACCATTTATAAATGTGGGGGAAAGTTTGTTTATTCTAGAAATATTTTATTTTGTCATAACATTTTGGCCAGGGAGGTGAAGCTGATGAGCTGACAGCTCAAAATGCTGTCCAAATCAGAAGTACCTTTGAGTGCAAGGCCAACAGACCTTGCAAAAGGCATGTGTGAAGGAGTCCTTCTTGATCCCTTCTGGCTGCAGCTTAGGAACAGTCTACAACAGAAAGGGTTTGATGATCCAGCTCTACCAATCCTCATAAAAATCATCCAGGTTTGTTCAGGGGCTTCCCATGAGTGCAGCTACAGGCACAGGGACTCTTCAGATTCATCCCACAGCTTTAGCCTGACAGTAACAGAAGGGGGAACTGATGCAAAGGGCTGTGATACCACGCAAACTAAATCTGCCCAGCAGACAGTGGATTGTCCCTCGGTTTTGATCCAGGCCATATGTCTCCAACTCACTGGCTGAACTCAGTTTTAAGAGGTGGGTGGACAAAGTCTCTGAACTGTGCAGTCACATGTAGGTTGGGCTGAGAGATCGTATCTCTGGTCACAGCATTTTTGTGTTCATGAGCTTCCAGGGAACAGACCCCAGAGGAGCAGGAGACAGAGCAACAAGGAGACCTGTGCTTCAGCATAAGGCTCCTGTGCATATGAATATGTCAGAGGGTGAGACAGCGCATACAATAAAAAGTGGATCATAACTATTTAGAAAAAGAAAGAACATTTGCTCCTTTGGGGAGAGGAGGAACTGAAAGGAGTTCAGAAAGAGAAAAGCCACACTGCAGGGCTGAGGGACAGGCCACTGGATCACACTGTCCCATTTCCATTCTCATCTCTTGCGAATCCACAGGGATCATCCTGGCATTCTCCCTCCGGCCCTACCAGCTGACCTATCGCCAGATCAAGTATTTCTCCTTCCCCGGGGAGCTGCTGATGCGTATGCTCCAGATGTTGGTTCTTCCTCTCATCGTCTCTAGCTTGATCACAGGTGAGAAGTGCTTTCTGCTGCTTTCAGCCAAGGCAATAACCAGCAACGATGGATGCTAACTGTTGTTGGGGTACCCCTGTGTGCCCCAGTTGGAGGTGCTTGGATTAGCTTGAAAAAGAGTGACAAGCCTGAACCTACAGTTGTAATGAACATGATTCACACTCATATCCCTGCTGGCTCAGTAGTGGGGAAGAGAAGCAGAAGGCCTTGTGCTTTCTCAGAAGACTAGGGAGGACAGAATGTGGTGTTTCCAATGCCCAACGCCTGGGCACTAACAAGGATTTCATCCTACGTAACCTCAAACGTCAAGAAGTTTGTTGCCCCAGTCAGCTTCATGTTTCCTCCAGCCTAGGGAAGGTTAATTCACATCAGTCCAAAAGAACTGGAGTTGGTCACTGGCTGGAGAGCTTGCTTCATCCAGGTCCTCATAGAAATGTTGTGATTTAACCCCAGCCAGCAACTCAGCCCCGCACAGCTGCTCACTCACTCCCCCCCGCTGGGATGGGGGAGAGAATCGGAAGTGCTCACTCACTCCCCCCTGCTGGGATGGGGGAGAGAATCAGAAGGGTAAAAGTGAGGAAACTCATGGGCTGAGATAAAGACAGTTTAATAGGGAAAGCAAAAGCCGTGCACACAAGCAAAGCAACAACAGGAATTCATTCCCTGCTTCCCACGGGCAGGCGGGTGCTCAGCCATCCCCAGGACAGCCGGGCTCCATCCCACGTAACGGTGACTTGGGCAGACAAACGCCATCGCTCCCAATGTCCCCCCCTTCCTCCTTCTTCCCCCAGCTCTATACGCTGAGCATGACGTCATACGGCATGGGATACCCCTGGGGTCAGTTGGGGTCAGCTGTCCCAGCCGTGTCCTCTCCCAGCTCCTTGTGCCCCCCTAGCTGCTCACTGGTGAGGTGGGGTGAGGAGCAGAAAAGGCCTTGGCTCTGTGTGAGCCCTGCCCAGCAGGAAGGAAACCATCCTGGGGTTATCAACGCTGTTCCCAGCACAAATCCAAACCAGAGCCCCACACCAGCTACTGCAAAGACAATTAACTCTATCCCAGCCAAACCCAGCACATTCCATACCATTTTTGTCATGCTCAGGTAGCACACTACCCAATACATCCTCCATTGACTACCACCCCCCTTCCCATCCTTTGATATAATACAGAGATACCATTCCCTTAGGACAGCCCTTATAAAATGTCAATAAAATGCCCATAAAATGTCCACAGATATACACAAAGTGTTCACTGAGTTCATTTTGTCCCTGACTTTGGCCTCCATCTGCCATGGTGGTCGCTCAGGACAGGAGAGGGGCTGTGTTGCGAGGAGTTACCGGGCACCAAAGCCAGCTCAGGTCAGGTCACTGCTGCACTTGTGCTGCTTCTTGTAAGGCTTCTCCTCCACCAGTTCAGGTGTTTCCTGCTATAGTAATTCCTGTATCAGGCAACTCAAATCCTGGGTTACAACAGTTTAAAGGTATTTCCATTAAGTTCTTCACTCCGGTCCCTTTGGGCCAGGTTTAAAATTGCAATGAACTCCTTCCCTTGCCCCTGCCACGCTTTCAGACAGCAGAAAGGACTGCAAGGCATTCCACCTGCTGAAACATCTCACCATTAGGCACTAAAAGGCCCAATGTACTGGGAAGGGATTATTTCCCTTCTGAGAGCTTTAGGAGGAAATTGCTATATTCCCAAATGCAGCCTAAGACCCACCAGTGCTATGCTTCTTCATAACCACAAGCCACATTCTCCCATATTGGCATCACTTTGGTGCTCCGAAGTCTGCCCCTTGTATGCTGTGCTTCTTACAGACCCCAGCTCCCCATCCAGCTCACACATGTGCCCTGCATATTTTGCATCTTCCTTGCATTTCCCCCTTCCTCTAAGACGACAGACCTTCTCACCTTGTCTCTCTGTGTGACTCCCCAGGAATGGCCTCTCTGGATGGCAGAGCCTCAGGGAAGATGGGGATGCGGGCTGTCGTCTACTACATGGTGACCACAATCATAGCAGTCTTCATTGGCATCCTCATGGTGATCATCATCCACCCAGGAAAAGGATCTAAGGAAAAGCTTCACCGAGAAGGCCGAATTGAGCAGGTGCAGACCACAGATGCCTTCATGGACTTGGTGAGGTAGGTGAACAAGATGGTTTCACGTTGAGACCATATCAGTGAGATTACATTGCTCCACAGAATGTCCTTTTGAAGCATCACAGCTTCAGACATACACTCTTAAGGAAAGAGGTTTATGGGTGAGTCTTGCCCAACCTACTACCTCTAGCTCAGTCTAGCTAACTGGCTTTGCCACTCTGAGATTGAATACTTGGCCTGGAGCTCTTGGATCCAGCCCTACTCTTAGAGGTATTAATGCAAGAGGCCAAGGCGTGCTCAGCAAAACAAGTAATGAAAACTATCAATGACTGCATGCCCTTCAGAAAATCACCCAGCAAAGGCTACTCCAAATATCCATCTTCACTGACCCAAGGAAATCGAGGAAGTGGTTCCCAAGACATTGTCTCCCTCCCTTGCTGTGACCTTACACAGTGAATTGCAAAGCGCTACCATATCAAGCGGTGTGAAGCTATGTTTCTGAGGTACAAGAGAGCTCAAATGACAGCTGTAGAGATGAGGCTGAGAGCAAGGCAGTATGTTAAAATTTGTGATATGGTATTGTTTCAAGGTTCGGTTGGGTTTCATGATGCTTTTACAATGGACCCATATCCCTGTATATGCTGTATGTGTGTAGTCTCTTTCCACGTACCTGAAGTACAACCTTCTGGAGTCTGAAAAGATGCCTGGCTCCAGATCACCATATTCCCATCTTCTGTCATTCAGACAGAAAGGGCCTGAGCTGGCAGTGTGAGAGTTGTGACCCGAGACACTGCTCAGGATGGAGGTGTTGGCCGGGAAGCCGATGTTTTCTTCCTAGTCAAACAGGACAATAACTCTGTTTTATCTACTGCAGGAATATGTTCCCGCCCAACCTGGTAGAAGCCTGCTTCAAACAGGTATGAAATCCCACCTGGCTATCACTTCCCTTTGCACCCTGTGCCCTAGACCATGGTCCAGCCTACTTCTCTGAGGCATGGAATAGCAATTGCATTATACTGCCTTCACACTTCCCCAAGTCCAACTGCTCCAGGAGGCATTGCAGTCATTAGACTGTATTATAGCATTCCCTACGCAAGCTTTTCAAGCTGTCTGCAGATGGGTCTTCAACCTCCATCCCACCCCACACTCAGAGTCGGGAAGGGGTTGTGTGATCTCAGGTAGCAGGCTTGGACCAGCAGCGAAATGGGAGCAGATTCTCCAAGGATTTGTCTCTTCTGTAGTGCTAGCACCCTTGGAAGGAGTATAAAGGGTTATCAGAGAAGCCAGAATATCTTAGTCCTAGGGATACGAGATGCTCCAATGGTCTCTTTTGACCTTCAGCTCTATGAACATTTTGATGAAAGTACTAAACAAGGGAGCTGGAGAACAGGCAGGGCAAGTTTCCCACACAGGTCAGCAGTGAACATGCAGTACTTTCCTTTCTTTATGAAGGGATGCAAGAGCCTAGCATGTTGTCCTGAGCTCCTGAACCAGGGCCTGTGATTACGTCTGATCATCTGTGTCTTTTCAGTACAAGACGCAGTACAGCACCAGGGTCTTCACCAGAACCGTCCTCCACAGCAGCAATGTCACAGCAGGTGTGACAACCACTCAGGCCCCTGCACCTGAGAACTTCACCAGCATCCTGGAGAACATCACTCATGCCCTGGGGACCGTCTCCGAGGTGCTGACCTTTGAAGAAGTCATTCCCATCCCGGGCTCAGCCAATGGGGTGAACGCACTGGGGCTGGTAGTGTTCTCCATGTGCTTCGGTTTGGTGATCGGCAGCATGAAGCAGAAGGGACGGGCCCTGCGGGAGTTCTTTAACTGCCTCAACGAAGCCATCATGAGGCTGGTGGCCATTATCATCTGGTGAGGAGCACGGCCGGTTGGAGCAGGAGGTTTGCAGGTGCAGTTTCCGCTGACCTGATGAGAAGTGGGGTAGCTTTAAGGATGACATGCACAGGAAAAGCAGATGGGCACAGCTCTCCTTTGGCTCCATCAGGCCAGAGGGAAAAGTCTGGATGGGATATCTGTTCACATTTCATTTCCTGTTTTTTTGTTTTTACCTCAGAATATCAGGCACAGCAGGACTTGCTTCCCTTGAGGCTGCTGGGAACATCCTTGGAAGACCAGAGAGCTGGAGTGGAAGATCTCTTAGCCTTACCAACAGGGGTAGGGTGTGAGGCTGTTCCACCAAAAGCTTTCCTTCCAGCTATGTTCCAGGAGTCTGACTTAGCTATGAATCACAATAACCTATTGCCACTTTCCTGCTACTCAGGGTGGCTTCTGTATGCATTCGCTCTGAGAGCTGGGCTGGGTTGACAAGGTCAACTCAAAGTCTCTGCCTTTCAGCTTGAGGTCTCCCAGATCCCAACTCCTCTAGAGCTCAGCTGCTTGTTGCTTTCAGTGTAAGGCTGCCTGTGCTACATGGGCCAGATCAGCACGGCGTTGCTGAGATGAGTCTTCTCTAGAAAGCAGCATTTTACCAAATCTTGTTATTTTAAGCTCTTTACCCACCTAGGGCTCGATGTCTAAATAGGAGTTTCTGGTAGTTACTGCGAGACAGGAGAGATGTGGAGCTGGCAGAATACATGGAAATGTCTGACAGGGAGGGGATCTGTCAGCCCTGCACCCTCTCCCATTTTAGATCACTCCAGCTTCCATTCCCTGTTCTTCTAGCCACAGTCTTTTATCTCTGAGCAACATCATGGGCACAGGGGGATGGACCTTACACAGAAAGACACAAAGGGGAAGAACAACCCTGAGCTCATAGCGGAGCGCTGGGGAGCCCCAGCCCCTCTAGGATCTTTTCCTCCACAGATGAGCCAGAACTTGAGGCCTTGCTTTCTTCAAGAAGAGATAAGAGTTGCCCAAGGGCACAGAAGGGAGAGCATGAGCACAGTGGAACAAGTAGACCTGCACACTTCTCCCAGAGATAATTTCAAGGTGCCTTCAACATCCCCTCCTTCGCTCCCCCTTACAGTAAAGGAATCACAGAATCCCAGAATGGCAGGGGTTGGCAGGGACCTCCGGAGACCATCCAGTCCAACCCCCCTGCTAAAGCAGGGTCACCTAGAGCAGGGTGCACGGGACATTGAAGGCAGGGTGTTGATGCATAGCACACTGGTTACACTCAGGAAACTGCCTGTGTGCATACAGTAGGCAGTGTCTGGAGACACCTCTTGGCTGACAAAATCCTGCTGGTATAGGAGGCAGGACTTCCTGAAGCCGCAGTCTGCAGAGCATCTCCCAGGAGCTTGTTTCTCCTGGGGAGATCTGGTCACTAGCTGCAGTCGCAAATGTCTTCTAAGAGGAAGGTCAGAGGAAATGAAATATTTGTGAAATCCTTTCCTGAAACTTTTCCAAACCTCCCAGGCTAAGTTGGAGTTTGGCATGTGGACCTCTGAGCCTTGTGCATGAATTGCATGTGAGTTCTTGAGCTGTAGAGGCCAAGCCCTGAGAGGTGTGGCCGCAGAGCTGGCCAGTTATTTGTCCATGTTTAGTTTAGTGCCCATGATATTCTCCATGTCTGTGTTATGGCTTCCTTTCTGTGGAGCCTCACTGCTGCTCATGAGATGCATTGTTATGGAGGGGGAAAAAAAGCCATAAGGAATGGAAAGGGTAACAGCGTTCCTCAAAATGGGTTTTTATTTAAGCCATGGCTGCTTTCACAGCTGTTGGTGTGCCCAGTACTTGCTACACCAGATACGGATTCCCTACATGTTCCTATTCCCTAAATGTGAACATCTGAAGGTAGCAAGGCTGATATCCCAGAGCCTACAGCACACTATTGCTTTTAGTCCCCAATTCCCTGTTTCTCCTCTACTTCCCTGTGCCTCTCAGTAAAAAAAGACACTCAGCCCAAGCTCTGTTAGGAAAGGAAGGGAATCTGAAGACTCCTCTACATAACCTCCCCTATCAATTCTACAAGGATTGTTGTGGAAACATGTAGGGAACCCAGAGGGAGAAGGAAACCTCCACCAGTGCCCAAGCTGTGTGCACAACAGAGTGCTGGGGTCCCCGACAGTGCAACAAGTGCTGGTTTTTGACCATATGGTGAACAAGTCCCAGCTCTCTCCAGGTTTCCAGAAAAGAAACCAGCAGTATCATCCAGCGATAGGCTCAGTGAGCACTTCTGGTGTGCTGGCTTACTGGGGACTTGTCCAGACAGCATGCATTAAAGCTGGTGTGAGTGTGGGTGCCGGTTCTGAGCATCGGCCTTGTGTTTCTGCCACAGGTATGCTCCAGTTGGGATCATGTTTTTAATTGCTGGCAAAATCCTGGAGATGGATGACCTAGCAGTGATGGGAGGCCAGCTGGGGATGTACACTCTCACTGTCATCGTTGGACTCCTCATTCATGCCCTCTGCATCCTGCCACTGCTCTACTTCATCGTCACTCACAGAAACCCCTGGGTATTCATTGCAGGGCTTCTACAGGCCCTCATCACAGCCCTGGGCACCTCCTCAAGGTACGATGGCTACGTAGGAGTAGGGTTGGTGGGGATATTCTGGGGCTGCTGCTCAGCATTCCATTGCTCTCAGTGCAGCATGGCGGTCTCACAGTTTCTAGCACTAGCAGCTCTTTGCACTGGTCCAGCCAAGATCATTTAAAAGTGGAAAGATTCCCACTCCCCTGCACAGGAGCCCTCATCACGTGGCCATCTCTAACCACCAGTGCATGACCCACGTTCCTCCTCACCAAACACAGAGGTGACTTCGCTGGCAGCACTGAAATGATGAGCGCAGGACGAATATCAAACCCCACTGATCTGCAGCATTATTCCCCATGCGCATACCTCTCGCACACATGTGCTCGCACGCATTTGCACATTTCTCTCTCTCAGGCACACACGCTGTATGCAGCTGGCGTTAAACTCACAGGAGACCTGGGAAAGGCATAAACACCCATATGTTCAGTGACTCTGCCATGCAACACAGCCAAAGCAAGGGATTGTAGGTAGCTGTTGCTTCACCAAGTGCCAAGTTTCTTGCTAGGTTCATTTCCTGGCAAGCACGTAACAGTCTCTCCCATGTGCCTTCTTGCCCTGAAACACACTGCGCTTTCCTGCTCATGTTCTCTTTCAGAAACAATTCTCTGCTTTCTCTGCAAGATATATTCTCATACACGGGTCATTCCTGTCTTATGCACTGAGGGGGGTGAGAAAGGGCTCAAGGATTTTTAATAGCTAGAAAAAGGAGTTTTGGTCGTGAGCTCTGTCCTATGTACACTGAATCCTCCAGCATCACCTTCTTTTGGTGTTATACCAGCATCATCAGCCTCAGGGCTACACAGCCCCTGCCCCAGCCCCCTGAGGAAAGCCATGTCTGAATGTGCAACTGCAACGTGCACCATATCTGAGGAAGCCTTGCTTAGACTGTTCTTTCTCCTAGCAGCTTCTGGCCTCTGGCTCACATGGCAGGGTGAAAAAGCAGGTGGGTAAGGTCATAAACCAGGCAGAGGCTTAGTCCCTCTTCCAAAGTCAGAATTTACCCAATTCATGTTGTTTTGTAAATTCCTTTCAGCTCAGCAACTCTGCCCATCACCTTCAGATGCCTGGAAGAAAACAATGGTGTAGACAGGCGCATCACGAGGTTTGTTCTGCCTGTGGGAGCTACGATTAACATGGATGGCACTGCTCTGTACGAGGCCCTTGCAGCCATCTTCATTGCACAAGTCAACAACTATGAACTTGACTTTGGACAGATCATCACAATAAGGTGACTTTTGAAGTACAGGAGGGGCTTCAGTTTTGTTGGCTTATCTGAGTTGTGGTCAGGTTCCTCTTTTGCTCAGAAGATATAATGAGAAAAAAACAGTATGGAAAAGAAGGGTGTACTACACCTCCAGGAGTAGAAGCACATATGATTGGGGCACCACCTAAGCCCTTACTGCATTTCCAGGCCTGGGCCATCCCTTAGCTAGAGCTGCAGCATGCAGTCTGTTACAGATGGGTGCCTGGCAGGGGGGAGCCTGACTGCTCTGCTGATGTCCCATGTGTCACCACCCTGTTTGGTGACCAGGGCAGAAAGGCTGCCAAGACATTTTGTAGATGATGAGTTTGAGCTAAATCCTGGCATTTTTGCAAATGCGACTACTTCTTGTCTTCCTTTACTGATAGCTGTGCTTTCCTCTTCCCTCCAGCATCACTGCCACAGCAGCCAGCATTGGAGCTGCAGGTATTCCCCAGGCAGGACTGGTGACTATGGTTATAGTGTTGACATCAGTGGGGCTGCCTACTGAAGACATTACGCTGATCATCGCTGTGGACTGGTTTCTGTAAGTCATAGGCACTGCTCTCTGCTCCCTGCCAGTGCTTACAGAGTTTGTCTGTACTGCCGATGTCTCTGCTACAAGCAGTAACCTGTATCATTAAGCTTAAACCACACCTGTATCCATGAGACGGTAGCCCTCTCTGGTCATGCTGGAGTCTTCACCATGTACTTCAGTGACCCAAGGCCTCAGAGGCCACTTGCAGATCAGCCTGATCACCAAGCAGAATGTCCTTAGTTTGCTTTATCTTAAACGACACCCAGAAACTATCTCCAGACTGATAGGGACAGGTTGTGCCCATAATAAGCAAATTCACACTGCAGAGCAATGGTTCTGCGCTACCAAACATGGGAAGTGGGATGAGACTGGGCTGTACAAAGTTGAGGAGTGTTTAGGTGGGTGCAGCTAGGCAGCTACATTCTCCATCTCACCTTTCTTTCCCTTTTAAACCTTGGGACAAGTGATTTCCAGGAGTGCTCTTAGGAACTAGATTGCAGAATGCATTTGTGCACAGTCCTCGCTCTCTCAGTCTTCTCAAACACAACAAAATCCCAACTCAGGGATACACTGTCAGTGTTTCCTCTGTTCTTCTGTATCTTGTATTGCTGATTTGTAGCCAAAGTAGCCAAAGTCTGCTCCCAGCCATGGAGACTGGGAACAGTCTTGCCCCAACACCTTCACTTCCCCTGTGAACTGTGCATATGAACAGAGTTGGCTGGAAAAGGCCCTGCCTCCTACGACGCCAGGTTACCTCTTGTACTTACCCAGAAAGGTCGGTTTCAATCAGGTACCAAGTCTTATCCGTTGTTACCGCTGAAGGATATGATGGATTTCTGGACTGGTGACAGCTTCAGCTCTTACATACAGTTGTGGTTGTGGAGAATATCTCATTGCAAAGGGTGTTGCAGATTTTTTTTAGATTTGCCATTTTGCACAAAGAATCTGGTGCCTTGTCTTAGTGTATGCTCTCCATGCTGAGGAAGTCTGGCTCCACAGCAGCACTAAAAGTTATAGGTTTGCACCAGAATTTCTGCACGTTTTGTAAACCAAAAGGCAACTCAGGTGTAACAGATGTGGTGAGGCTCATCTGAGTCTACCAAAAGGCCTTAGCAGCCCTTGGAAAGGAACCGCGTGTGGAACCACAGTAACGTTTCCCTCATTGTGTGGCAAGTCAAAAACTTTTCAGGGAGAAATGGGGTAGAGCAGGAAGGTGAAGCCTGTGCTCAGGGCTATCAATCAAGGAAGGCTCTCTAGGAGTCATTTTCCTGTCAATGTTTAAGTGTCAATTATTAGAATAACTTGAAAAGTAGAAAAAGTTTCACTGAAGGTGTTTCTTGAAATAGTCTTCATCCCCTTAGCTGTTACTGAGAAGCTACATTTCATTTTTCTCTCTGATTTTTCAGGGACCGCCTTAGAACGACCACCAATGTCCTGGGGGATTCTCTGGGGGCTGGCATTGTGGAGCATCTCTCCCGGCATGAGCTAGATGCACAGGACTGCGAACTTGGTAATTCTGTGATAGAGGAGAAAGAGCAGTTCTCCCACCTGGTTTGCCCACAGAATGACACCCACAAGCACCCCAGGCGTGAGACAGCACTGTGAAATCAGGCAGCAGAGTGCAGATTAATGCTGTAAAAAGGCAAGACTTGAAACAGCAGTCCAGTAGTGGAGGACAGAAAAAGATCCACTCTCCAAGACGCATACTTTTCTCCTCCCTCTGCCACATGCAGTCCTCCCCGATCCCGTTTCTCCCCTATCTCTTTCTGACTGGCATTAAAGAGGAGAAAATTAAACTGCAAAGAAAGTTTTATTCCACAAAAGCCTGATTTAGTCATTTTTATGGGGTCCAAGAGTTAGACCTGAGTAAAGAAGACTAGTGAATGAGCTGGACGAGGAGCTCCTTTGTTTCTGAGCTAAAGTATGAACACAGCTAAGTGGCAAAGTTGGTTGTTGCCATGATGAGTCCACCCTGCAGGATGCAGCTGCAAAGCCTTCGCTTGGTCAATGGCTTCCCCCAAGCATGTAAAACTTCTAGCGTTGGCCATTTGGAGATCTCTGGAGAGCCCCAGCACTCCTGTTCAGCTCTTCACTGTCAAGAGTGTTTATGATAAACGCATTGTCCCCCTTGCTCACACTCCTGATCTTTGCACAGATATGCAGATGATGCTTCCTGAGAGCTTCTCGCTCCTCTGGCAACCCTTCTGGCTGCAGAGACACCAAGCTTCTGAAGGAATGTGGGACCATATGGCAGGGACAGGGCTTACTGTGCTGGCTGGTAGCACAAATAGGGGTCAATAGGCTTTTCATTAGTGGAAGCTGCTGCGAAAGGATTGTAAAAGCAGCAAACAATTAATGAATTTATTATATCCATTATTCAGCCTCTGAAACAGCCCTCCCCTCTACCAAGCTCTACCAAACACCAGTTAACTTCATCTCTCTTTAGCAAGCTGTTCTCCCCTTGGTGAAACCAGAAGGGGAAATGCAAAGTTTAAGAACAGTTTGCCCACCTGCGCAGCTGCCTGCTGCCCCAGATTTGCTCAGAAAACAGTTTCGCTCCTAAGGAAACTGTTCCTTTGCTCATCTTTGGTTATTTTCAGAAGTTACTTCCCTTCAGTCACATTGCTCCAGAACATGCTTCAAAATATCTCTGTCTTTCTACAGTTCCTTATCTTTTATAGGCAGTACCCAATCACCTCCCAGCACTTGTACAAGTTTGCCAGACCCCAAACTTAAAAATTCAGGATAAATTTCTCGGTTCCTACCAAATGGAGCTCAGCTTCTGTTTAACACACTTGAACATAAGCCCACATGACATCCAAAACATCTCAGAGGCTCAAGCAAGAAGTAGGGACTTGCTTCATCCATGCCCTATCCCCCTTCCCTGGCATGGCCAGGAACGCAGCCTTTATCTCTCACTGCAGTGAACAGGACCAGCAGGGCTTGCTCCATAATATCCAGGTCCATCAACATCCTGAAAATGAACGACTAGACACAACCAGGAAGATAAAAAGGATCCACAGTTTTGGGGCTACCAGTGTAGCTGTCCTGCTTTAGAAATGGCTATGCCCAGAAACAGCAGCAAGCAGCCAAACTATCTAAACTGGGTGGCTTTTACTTGAGGTCTGCTCGTTATTCCAAACCTGGTATATCATTGAAACCTCACTACCCAGGCTTTCCACACTGATCCTTTTCATCCAGAAGCCCCAGCCTCACACTCCAAGGTGCACCTAAGTGGACCTCGGGAAGGAAGACCTCGGAGGCATCAGCTGGAGTCAACTTTGCCAACCACAACCGCACAACTGCCCATGCTTATCTCCCCAGCACTAACAAAGCTTCCTAAAACACATTTCTTGAGATGTCCAAAACCAGATCCTGAGGCTCGTTTTGATCCTTCAGGAATCGCAGGATTATTTATTGGTGCTGCCACATTCCACATCCTATAGGCAGAAAATTCTGGTTTTATGGGCTGGATGATTGTTGGGAATCTGAGATAAATGGACAAATGCATCTCTTTCACATAGGAGTGGGTAAGAGAGAAGGGGAAATAGAAGTGTGTGGTAGCTCCAGGCAGCAGTAGGTGGCCCCAGACCCTGGCTGTGGGAGGCAGGTTGCTTATTCTGACAAGAGACCTGCTCTAGCAAGGGGCAAGTGAGCAGGATAACAAATTATTATCCTCCTCTTTGCAGCATTTTTTTATCTTGTATGAATACTATTATAATGTCTGCTCTTCTCCTTTCTAGACTAAACAGACCCAGTATACCCTCACAGGTAATAATCATTCATCTTCCTCTCCTCTGGACTTTTTTCTCGCTGTTCCACATCTTTCTTAGAGCGGAGTAACTAAAATTTAACACAACAATCCAGCTAAAGCTCTATTAGTGCTGAGCACTCAGGAAAGATTTCATGGACATTGAGATTTAGATCTTACACTCCAGTTACCATAGTTCAACAGCATGCTATGCATCAGCTGATCCAGATAACTGTCCATGATGCATACATACAGGAAATTCCAGTCTGTTTGTCTTATCTTAAATCTTAGCGAGGTTAGACTCTTGCTTTGATGGGATGGCTCTGTCTAAAGACTGGATCTTAATCAATGAGTTTTATGATACACTGCACTAGCTGGTATCTATAGTGGGCTAAGACAGCACTAGCTGATCATTAACACAGCTCAGCTGACATGAGTCTAAACCTTCATAAAGAACAGACCTGCTTCTAAAACCCAATCAAGTGCTGTGCTTTTTCACAACAGCATGATAGCGCTGACTCCACTCCAGTGGTAATACATGATAATTCCTTCCTCAGCAGAACTGCTGCCTAGCTGGTAATGTCCCAACCTGTGTCTGTGCAGTTGATTATTGTTACTTTAGTAATTTATATTTGTCCATATTGAAGTTCATCTTGGTTTTCTTTTTTTTTTTTCAGACTATTTGTCCAACTTTTCAAGAAAGCATTGAATTCTAATCCTGAAGAGAATTCCTGTATATAAAGGGCAAACTGACAGATGAATCGGAAGAAAAGATTGTTGGATTGGACTCTGGCTCAAATGGGAATTAATATGGCTTGGATCATACAGAGAGTCAAACTAGATGATTATAACGGTCCCTTCTGGCTTTGTAATATATGCACGTGCTTTCTGGTTTAAAGATATTGCAAAGGGTCCTTCCAGCCCAATCATTTTGAAAAACTATCTGGAAGGATCCTAATGATACTTTAATAAAAACTCAGCAGGAGTCTAGCCTGTTTCCAATTGCTGTTAGCAGACATGTAAACACATCACAAAAGGGGCTCTCCACACCACACTGCATCACCGTGATGTCAGATGTTCCCACAAAGTAGTACACCCCAAGCCTTGCCATTTGTGATTTCCTGCTTTCAACACAAGACTAATGGAGCACAAACAAGTAGAGGCCTCATTTTCAAATACTGCAAACCAGTCTCCCATGGGGAATTTCAAAATTCAGCTGATAGTTTCTAGTTCTGGTGTTTACCCATGTTAACCAGTTTATGACTGGGATTATCTATCTGTTTACAGTACCCGAACCGTAAAGTATTGTCAGGAATTTGCATATATATATATATACACACACCTCTCTATATAAAAGGGGCGCATGTGCACAAACATACATATACACAGAGTTCATTCTTTTTGTTGCTAATCCAAGAAGGGAAGGCAATACTAAACTCTCACTCTGTAAAGCTGCATACTTCATTTTGATGCCCACCTTGGTTTATCCAACTAATCCCATCCTTAAAACAACAGAGGCTATTTTACTTCATTCCAGCAACGAGTCTTCCAAAGCAAAGTTTACCAGGAAGGGGCTCGATGCATGCTGATTTTGAGTGGTACCTGCTGGTGACATAACGAGAACTTCTCAATGTATGGAGAAAATTCTCCACTTGGTCTCTGACTTCCCTGCACACACCCCAAGGACCCCATCCCCACCGCATCTGACTTGGCAAGGAGGCAGGCTTTAAGAGCTCAGCCAAGAATACAAAAGTGTTTGTACTCCTTCCAAACCCAACACTGACCTTGTGCTAACTCAGCCTCCAAAACTGGATAGCTGAAAGGATTAAATCACGCTGTCAACTGTCTTTCTAAGTTATCAGATATTTGAGAGTTTATGCAGTCTTTTCTTCACTGAAGTCCTGCTGCTTCTACTTGCAGAAACTTTCCGAGTTTCTCCTATTTTCAAACAGATGTATTCCTAATGATTAGATGGGCAACATTTGGGATGAAAGAGAGAGAGAGCTCAATGCATGAGGAGCTCTTGGATTAGGACACATCTCTTCAAAATTAATTTTAAGAGAGAAAATCCATGAAGAATATGGACTTTCAGCTGATAGGCCATATGTCACATTATGTATGGGATACGTGTGCATTGTTTCAGGAGGCAGATCTGCCCATGAAAACTGCCCTGATATTTTATTTTCCTTCTCTGCTCTGCCCAAGGAAGAAAGAGGTAACTGGAAATCAGAGCTGTTCAGCATGTTCATAGCATCCTGGCAGTTTGACTACGTTAATTCCTGAGGGCTTTTTCTTCATGCTGTGAGTTTCAGTGTTAATAGTTTGCATACTTGAAAAATAAAGGGAATTTTTTCCACAATGCTTTTCCCTGATGTGTTTTTCTATTATTTTTCCTCAGGACCATGACCTTACAAAGTTAGGGATGTTACTTCTAGATTATGTATTACACTTCCTTATCTCCATGTGCCTATGTCATGGCTCAAATACTAAATTCAGATTTCTACAAGGCCTCTCCCTAAAGCTTCTTCTTTGATGCCATCTTTTGCATAGGCCCATAAAATGGCAAAGCTGCGCATGGCTTTCTTCACAGGTAGGACACAGCACACAAGCACATACTTGCATGTAGGAAATCCACCCCTAACAAAGGTTATGTGGAAGCGGTCTCTGAGGCTTAAACAATAATGAGTTTACATTACTCACTGAAATGTTGCATTAATGGCATGGTATTTGAGCAAGGAGAAAACTGTTACCTCTTCTCCCCTTGATATTCCTTTTCCTTGTCTTCTCTTCCCTCAGGGACAGGAACCAAGGTGAATGCACGGCTGATGGGGCAAGGGCATCACCGGTCAGGGCCCAGTTCCACAGTACCCAAGGCAGGCAAGCAGCACAGACTCAGAGATGATGGCCAGGTCCAGCAGACACTGAGACAACAGCATGGTGATGAAGCAGGTCTGAGGTCAAAGCCAGGTCTGGTGATTGCTGGGCAAGCACACAGTGCTGAGGCGAGGCTGAGGTCAAGCTCTGAAAAATTAGTCCAGGTACTGGGGTTCAGATCACCAGGGTTCACAGTCAGGCATGGTCACAGCTACTGCTGAACTAGAGACCTGTACTCCTCCAGCAATAGAGCTCAGGCTATGAAGGCCCACGGCTGAACTTAGAGCTCCTGGGCTCATGAATGCGGATTGGGGCCCCAGGTGAGGCTGCCTGGGGCCATTAAGGCTTATGAGTGTACTTTGGGTTCATACGCAGACAAATCCACAGCCCCTGCCCTGCCGGCCATGCCGACTCTCCTGTGCATTGCAGAAATTGGTTGAGGGATCTCTGGAGATCATCTACTCAAACTGCTCTGCTCAAAGCAGGGGCAACTACAGCAGGTTGCTCAGGACTTTATCCAGCTGGATTTTGAACATCTCCAAGGATGTAGGTCCCACAACCTCTCTGGACGACCTGTTCCAGTTTTCAAACACCCTGAGAGTAAGAAAGCTTTTTCTTTGTTTAAATAGAATTCCTTGTATTTCAATTGGTGCCCATTGCCTCTTGTCCTTTCACTGGGTACCACTGAGATAAGTCTCAAGGCTCCTTGAACCTTTAAATGTCATTTAATCTTCAACAGGCTGGAGAAATGGGATGACAGGAACTTCATGAAGTTCAACAAAGCCTGCACCTGGGGAGGAACAACTCCATGCACCAGTACATGCTGGGGGCTACCCAGCTGGAAAGCAGCTTTGCAGAAAAGGACCTGGAGGTCCTGGTGGACACCAAGTTGAACACAAGACGGCAGTGTGCCCTTGCCGCAAAGAAGGCTCATGGGGGGTGCGTTAGGAGGAGTCTTGCCAGCAGGTCAAGGGAGGTGATCCTTCCCCTCTGCTCAGCACTGGCGAGGCCATGCCTGGCGTGCTGTACCCAGTCCCGGGCTCCTCCGTACAAGAGGACTTACTGGAGAGTCCAAGGAATGGCCATGAAGATGATGAAAGGGCTGGAGCATCTCCCATGAGGAAAGGCTGAGGGAGCTGGGACTGTTTAACCTGGAGAAGAGAAGGTTCAGGGGGATGTTAGCAATGTAACCTGAGGGGAGGGTGTAGAGAAGATGGAGCCAGGCTCTTCTCAGTAGTGCCCGGTGACAGCACAAGAAGCAATGGGCACAAACCAAAACACAGGAGGTTCCCTCTTAACACGTGGAAACACTTTTTTACTGAGAGGGTGACCAAGCACTGGCACAGGTTGCCCAAGGAGGTTGTGGGGTCTCCATCCTTGGAGATATTCAAAACCTGACTGGATGTGGTCCTGGGCATCCGGCTCTACGTGGCCACTGAGGCCGTGGCCTCCTGAGGGTAAGGTTGGGCAGTGGCCAAAGATCTACGCACGGGGTGCCCTGAGCCCCTTCTCCACTGGGCTTTTCTTTCATTTGTGGCTTTTTGGCCGCGCACCCCTTTCCCTCCTCGTCCCTCCACCGGTTTCACCCAGGATGGTTTGGCCTCTCGCGCCCCCTAGTCAGCGGCGGCCGGGCTGACGCAACGCCC